TATGTGGAAAATAATGTGTTTTTTGAACCTTAAACCGCATAAACACATTTCATTACACCAAATACACAAAATAATGTTCTTTTTAGCAACATCATATGACCCCTTTAATATTTATTTCCCAGGGCACATTATACAACGTACATTTAAACCATCACGTTAATAATGCAAAGGAGAGCAAGTAGAACATACAATATTACTATAATAATAATAATTAGTGGAAAAAAATTCACGTGGAGAGTCCTAATGCAGCGCCAGCACCAAACGGACAGAACGGCAAAACTAACTGAATTATAACTGCCACCATTTAGATTTAAACAAACTTGTATTTGATGGCCCGAGCTGACGCAAAAAGTTAATTGTGAAATGTTTGCGCTTTGTAGAGTAAAGTACTGGCAGTTCAAGCATTTTCACAATCTCTAATTTGTATAAAAAGACTTTGATTCTCGAACTCATTCTTGTTAAGTACGGCCGCAATTGTCACCGGAAAAACTTTTACCCTGCAAGCACCAATCCGGAAGCCAGAAACACGGAAGTGTGAGAAAGGCTAATTAAATCACGCCGTGTGTGTGGCACATCGGGCAGCCACATGCACACTGCCCCCTAGAGTATTGGAGAGTTTAGATTTTTATTATAATTTATTTAAATATGACATTATCTAATTTAATTAAAAGTACATCATGAATCAATAACTTATTTAAATTATATTATTCAATTAATATTCTAATCTTTTTCATCAATTGCTTCCTGGGGAAGTTTTTCCAGTGACAAGTATAGTGATTCCACACTGAAAAATTATTTGCAACGTGTTAAAAACAAGTTGTTTATTCAGATTAATAAACACACATCTTCGGTTACTTACATGAGCAATTTTTGACATCACATAATTTGTAGAAATTCATTCCAGTCGGAATAGCTCATACACCTTTTTCAAGAATCATATCATTGTTGAGTTTAACCGCATATATATCTATTATTTAATTAATGATAAATAACCTGAAAATCCTTAGCTTATTGAAGCTTGTATAATTATTGTCATCATTCCAAATCCAAACAACAAACCACTTAATACAAGCAAAAAGCTTATACACGGCTGCAGTTATAGATTTTCAGAAACTCATATTATATAACATTGTGTCACCTGATACATTTTCCATTCCAGACATACATAATAATCTCCATATAGTATTCTCCATATATGCAATAATTACATGTAGACATGCATGGTTTCTTGAGTATATCCTGCTGCAGTGCTGAGCTGCAAAGGCAGGATCTTTCACCCATACATTTAACCTACATTTATAATGGCCATTATATTTCCTCTGGTTGTATAACCCTATCCATATTGTAGTCAAAAAGTTGTTTATCATGATCTATAGGCACACACTGTGTATCTTTGTGGAAGTTCAGATGTGCTGTTGCTTTGTTAATTGCATTCATAAAGGCAAGTTGGTTGATCTTAATAGCAGCTTCATAATAAATAGTGCAACCACAACTGTTGTCCTGATTGTGATCAGTCTCATCATGCCTCTTAATCACCTGATTTCTTTAAAGGAGTGCCTGTGATTGAATTCCTCCTGTTGAGCCCATATTTAAAGATGACATCATGTAAGTCATTATTAATACAATAAATGGTTTTCCAAGCTCTTGATCTGTCAGTTTAAAACTCACAATTATGATGCTACAGCATTACAGCAGCATGAATATCAAAACATATATGGCATTTGCACTCCAGCATCAGGTTAGACATGAAACGAGTTGGAAGGTTTGTGTGCTAATGTGTTCATTTTCTGTCTGTATCTCCATGTCAGTCTGTCTTTCTAGTTTCTAGTTCCATCTCAGTTCCTGCTTTTCTCGACCAGGCCGAGCGAAGGACTTTGAGACATCCGCGGATGATTCTGCGCATCCACATGATGTTCATGACATCCAAAGACACGCTGGAAATAACCCAGGCACTGCGGCCCCCCAGCGGTAACCGGTAGAAGTCATCCGTACCAAAGACCAAGTACATATGGCTGTAGTAGCCTGGAATGACTGCGATCCTCACCAAGAAGAATGTAAAAGTCATGGCGACACCATTAACCAGACTCGGTTTGGAAAGTTTGTGGTAGCCCAACATGTGAAAAAACCAACTGAAAGACATCAAAAATAATGCAATTAGAAAATGAGCTCCTGTAACAGTCTCATTGCATGCTTTTAGGTGGATTTTTAGGTCATACTTACCGCTGGTTCACGAAGGGAGTGGAGAATTCTGAAAGCAGGCGGAAATTAGCAAAGTAAGGCAATATTCCTTGACTCTGCAGGAAAAAAAGCACAAAATGACCTTGGAAATCTTGAGGAAGTAATAGTACACCAGACCCGCTGAAGACAACTTACCAGCACATAGTAGTATGCATAGAGAGCAGCAAAATGATGTATGACAAAATATTTCTTACTCCAGACCAGTTGCGAGCATAAAAGCCCCAGTCATCACCTGAGCTGCCGCAGTACTTCTCTACTGCCAAATCCCCTAGTATATACAGAGGCTTTTTTTGCATATGTGCTGACACAGCCGCACAGCCATCCAGAGGTCAGCCGACTCAAACACGTCTCAGATTGCGCCATCTGTGATTTATAGGAGCCACGCGTGGCTTTTGTGCAGTCTGAAATGCATCCGAATCCCAGAGATCTCGGCATCCCGTAAGAAACAGCTGATTGGGTGGGTTTGTGCTGCATACACAAACTTCTATCCTGGCTGAGGGAGTGTGTACATGTTACTCCAGCTATACATTTCTGCAGTATGGACACCGATCGAAATGAAACAGCAGGAAATCAATGCTTTTGATCAATGTGGCATTGTTATGGTCCACTGGGACACGGCCACTCCTCTGCTCTGTCCTCGTACCCTTGAAAAAGGCATCAAGCTTCAATGTTTTTGGTAACTGATAGTAGGAGGAAGTAAAGCCAGCGTGACCTTGTCAGATTTGAATTCTACTGTTTTTATGACATGTACAGTTAGATTTAGAACATGCTTTTATCTGAAGTGACTCACAAAAGAGGAACAAATCCAATTTGTCAAGGAACCAACACATTTATAATATACATTGCCAGGTGTATTTGAGAAGCAAACTAGAAAAGAGGAGAAATGCAGAGAAGAAAGGAATGTATTTAAAAAATGTGAGTGTGTAAGTGCACGCGTAGTAGGAGTAAAACACAAAAAAGGGCCAAATAATCAGAAAATAATGCAGTAGGACATGCTATCTTTATCATTTTCTTTGTCAGATTCATTGATTAAGCCATTCAGTTTCTTTTGCAATTCATTTTCCCTTGCAACAGCTCAATCTGTCCTGCTTCTTGGTGATTATGAAATGACTGCATGCTTCCTTAAAAAATAATGAAGTCAACATAATGCATGATCAGACTTACCCTTTCCGTTATGAAAGACCCATGTTGAACTGGCCATGAAGAGTGTGCATGAACACAGCTGGATACGAGGATAAACGCAGGGTAAGAGATCTGCGAATCTCAGGTGTTCACCAAGGAGAGGATGGCGGAGAGATTGCAAATGCAAATCCAACAGCCTTCTCCCTCTCCACTCTCCATATTAATACAGTAAGTGCCTTCTCTTGTATGCAGTTGTCGAGTGTAATTTCATATGTTTGATTCCTACTGAGCTTCATTGCATAGAGGAACCACTAGATGGAGTGAGACGTCCAACTGACTATCTTTTTTTTCTTCTCTCCATGGTAGCAAAAGAGCTTCAGGCATATGCGTTAGACCAGGAGAGGATGGTTGATACTATCTGAACAAGGACACTATTGGTAAACGAATGTTGTATATTTAGCAAGGTCAGCCCTGTCATCCTCAATTTCCTGAATCCTCAGCCTGAACTTAAGCTCAAACCAGATCTATTACTATTTACCAAACAAAATAAACCCTAGCCTTATTTAAAATCACTCCAACAGTAACACTCTAGGGGTTTCTTGTATTTAGAGCCATAATGGAGCAAGTTTAGGGCAGAGCGGTTAGTCTTGCCCTGCAGCTTCAGGTAATAACATCCCATCCCCGCTAAAGCACGGTTGTTGTTGAGTCCATCTGGATGTTGTGCCT